AAGGTACTGAACTGACTGATAGAACTTTTATGTCTATATATGTATACATAATATATAACTAATATTTAGACGACCTTCGGACAAATAACAGGATATCCTAAGTCCACAACCAAACAAGGAACAGGAAATAAGGCGGGTTAGCAGTCCTAAGTCCTTTAAACATTACTTATATAACTATACATATAGAGGCATGCAATTGATAATATAAAAGTTTAAAAGAAGTTTTGTAAAACATTAGGAAAGTTTAATAAGAAGAATTGACGACTTGATGTCAATTTATAAAACGATTTAAAAGCAGTTTGTTTGATATAAACAGTTTAAAGTATAAGAAATCCCTTATTTGGAACACAGTTTGAGTACATGAAAACCTTTGCTTGAAACTTAGTCATAACAGAATTTGAAAGGAAAGATGTAGTTTAGAAAATAAGTTTGATGAAGAGTTCAACGTGTAAAAGCATTCGAGAATTCATTTTGAAGTAGTTTGCTTGGTAAAACATCTAAAAGTGTAGTAACTCCATAGTTTGATAGTTATTAATCACATGTGATTGATATGATAACTATCATGATTCAACTTGTATTCCCCCCATAAAAGCATTTAAAAACATTTAAAAGGTTAATTAAGGGGTATGAACTCACCTGTATTGAGTAACTCGAATGGAAGATCGATATAGGATCGTTGGGTGTCAAATGGAGTCTCGAGCACAAACAAATCCTATTTAACATATAATTACACATATATGAATACATTAATGTATATAACCACTAATGGTGATAGGGACATGCCTTAAGGACATGAAAACACTTAGAATTAAGTGTTACAAACACCTATGGAAGTCCCTAAATGAGTGTAGGGTCTTAGATTTGAGTGTAAGGCCACCAAACTCAACTTTTATGTGTGTGCGGCCAGGTGTGCGGCCAGAGTGTGCGGCCAGGCCTGAGTGCGGCCATACACTCCCATAGGAATGTGTCCAAATCGATTTTCCAAGACTTTGTGATGATCCTAAGAAGATGTTTTGGCCATTGCTTAGCCGGATTGAGAGTTTGTTGCTATTTTGGACCCTTAAAAGGGTGCGTGCGGTCACACTTGGTGTGTGCGGCCAAGTGTGTGCGGCCATGGTGTGTGCAGTCGTACACTCCTAGCAAAAATGGTCCAAAACGTGTTTCTAAGTTCGTATCTTGTTTCCCCTAAGTTTCCTTGATCATGTGCTAGAATACTACTTGAGTTTGAGGCCTTAAAGCACCAAAATAAGGGGTGTACGGCCACATGAAGGTGTGCGGCCGCACACTCCTTTCAGATCGAGTTTTGGGGCTTCTAACAAGGCTCTAATATATCTAAACAGATGTAGGAGTAGGGTACTTACAGTGTAGAAGCGTATGGGGGTGTTTGGAGCCCAAGAACTTAGTAGATGTTCTTGGTGTTCTTGAAGAACACTTGAAGATTCACTAGAATGAGCTGATTTCATGGAGGAATTCAGTGATTTACACTAGATAGAGTAAGGAATCTATAAATCAAAGGCTAGAAACACTCACCACTTGAAGATCTAGGTGAAAAATCGGGATCCACTTGAGAGAAAACGAGTTCTTGACTAAGAGGGTGTAAAAGGGTGAAATGAAGGCTAAGACTCTTTCTTATAGGTATGTGAGTGCTGCCAGACGAGTGTGCTGCCGAAGAAGGGGTGTGCGGTCGGCTGTGTGCGGCTGGCTGGCCGCACACTCGGGTGTGCGGCCGCACACACCTTGCTGGGTGTGTTTGGCTCGATTTTTGTGATGCTACACACGTTCTGACCCTCCCTACGACTCATATCTCGATTGTATTAAGCCTAAAGCACTTATATAGACCCAAAACTTCATAACAAAATAGCAACACGAGGCTAACTTTGATAAAAATGAAGAATGTATAAGTTAGAAATTTCGGGTTGTCACAGTTCCTATTTGGAGATTCTTAATACATGATGTGACAGGGTCGCATTTTGATGTTTTGTAGGATCAAAGAAAAGAAACGAAGCTTAAAAGAAGAGTGAGTTGAATCTGATCGTGAAAAGAAGGATTTTGATCGCCCGATTCGATGATCAGATTTTTGAATTGCTGCTTAGGAGTTATGATATATTGCTTATAAATTTGTAATAGCATAGTTTTCATATGTAATTTCATTGTAAGGAAAAGTTTTTCCGCACCTTTTATAAATAAATAAAATTTTAACGTTTTATCTTATTTATATTTCCTTGCAATGGAATCTGTGAAAATTGATGTTTGTATGTTTCTATTTTAGCAATATGGATTTGATTCCTTCGTTTATGGTAGTGTCTAAATTTACCAAATAAGGAAAGGTTCTCATCACCCAAGTTTCAATTGGATAGAAACTTGGAATCATGCAACTTGTATTGTATGATGAATGAGAACCTTGATCTTTGGGAAACTAAGACTAATTCCTTGTTCACATGTATATGTGAGTCAATTGAAGGACTATGGGATTGGGTACACTTGGTTGTGCGTTGGTCAGGTCCACCACAAAGAACAATAAGACTATTCGTCATGATTTACTAAAGTTTAGTAAATATGGTTATGATTACAACTGAATCATTGAAAAAGTTTCAATGTACAGCAGGACAAATAAGAAGAATCAAATTAGGCAGAAAGATAAAAGTTTCTCCAATCTGAAAAGATGGGAGAGTACTTGAGTATCATGTTTTATGATCATCTTAATGATTATGAAAACCATATCACAATTTGATCCTCTAAGGACGCCGTAGTGCATTTGTTTGGCTAAGAAGAGGAATCATGAATTGTTGAATCGTTAAATCAATTAAGATGAAATAGAAAATCAAATCTTAGAGTCATACTCCAAGATTGTATATTAAGTGACATATCAGCAAATGTAGAGTAAAATGTTTTCTATTCTTGTACATTTGAAATTGGTAAGTTGTAATGTTTTGGATAAAACAAAGATCAACTAAGACCAATTGTCAAAAGTGTTTGTCTTGATAAGAAATCGCACTAACTCTTGAATATTTGTTTGTCAAGTAATGTTTCTTGACAAAGAGAATCTTATATGTCAAGAGGTCAGTGGGAGTCTTAAAGATCTTGAAAAGTTTTAAGAACTAATCAAGAGTAAACCTATTGTTAATCACTAGCACACAACTTGAGGTTTGTAACCTATCGTGTTGACATATTCTTGTTTTGTGCCCATTCCAGTTGGTTGACTATGCATGTGAGTTCTATGAGTTCTCAGTTGTTTGCATAGGGCAAAACACCTTGGTCAGTAAAAGTTCATTGATCAGTTAGGGTGATCTGCTGAACAACTTGGAAGCAATGGTAGGCCCTTGTGCTTCCAAGTGGCAAGGAATTAAGATTGAACAAGTTCAGTCCATATGAGTTTGGATTTGTCACTAACCTTGTCTTGTGATTATGGTTTTGACAAATTCACATGGATAGGAACACATACACCATAAAAATCTAAGTGTCATAAGGTTTCTCTCCAATTCATGAAAATGATTGTGAGGAAACGCTTTCACTAAGTAGATTTTAAAGAGTTAGCAATTATGATATTAGAATTCTCAAATTCGATTATGATTACGGCATCCCTCTTCATAGTTCGAATTGTGAGAAATGGCAAAATGTCTAAACATTTGAGACTTATTGTTGTAAGTTCTAGAATTGTTTGGACACACATGTGAGCTATCTAAGGAAAGGTGTATGAGTTTGAGAAGCCTAGATAAAGTTTTATCGAAGCGTCTTGTATCAGAAATCTGAACTTTGGTAAGAAAGTCAATAAAGTATTGATTTCTAGAAGTCCATTTGATTTCTGGATTTATGTCACAGCTAGTGGGAGCATAAATGTTATGCAAGTAACAAAATAATTGTTATGCTAGTGGGAGCATAATTATTATGGTAAGTGTTGCAAGTTAGCAATGTTAATTATAGAAAACAAAGTTTTCAATTCACAAAGTTGCAGGGTTGAAAAGTTGTTTTGCTATAATTAAGGGAGAGGAACTTCTACTTCATTTCAATTGTAAAAGTTTAGATTGAGATTTTAATCAAATTTAGTCAAGGATTTATATGAATACCATGTTGAAATGCTTCAACATTGGAAATTCTATAATATTCATGTGTTCTAATTTTCCAAATGCCTAGGGCATTAAGAGGGAAAAAGGACTAGAACTGGATATGACTAAAGTTATTAAACAACTGCTAAGAACAATCCAAGGTTCGCTAAAGATTGGTTGCTTATGGATAGTTGGAAGTATAATAATGGATGGACCATATTGACATTATTATGAATAGACAGGATTCTATTAATAATGAATTGTCATATGGGAAATATGGAAATGTTTCCATAATGGGAGTTGGATATCAAGAATCTATGAGAAAGTTAGAAACTTTTATGCAAGAAGGATGTTCAAAGGAATGTGCTTTGAATATGAGACTTCGGATCTATGGAATTGTCTTGTAACAATCTCCAATGAAAAGTTTTGCAATTAACAAAGTCTCTCTGACTTGTGTACATAGTCATTACAAAAGGATCACTGCATATAAGTTTAGAATCTAACAAATTACAGTAAGTGGCAAGAACTTGGTATTCGTACACTTACAATAAGGATTTGGAATTGTGAAATGAGTATCGTTGGAAACGTTTACAATTGATCCATTTCACAAAGTAAGGATCGTAGGTAAACATAGTGTGTCTGCATGGAGCATGGGATAGCTATTGTTTTAATTCAAGTATTAGTTGATAAATCGAAACAATATACAATGAATAATGTGTAATCAATATGGTGATTAAATGAAAGATGTTTTATTTATCACTCAAAAGTTTTGGGGCCATATAGGATTAGTATTATTCTTGTGTTTCACTTTGCATGTTTTGACTTCCCGAATAATAAGATTATTCAAACCATCCACAGTCGATCATACTTTGGAAGTAGGTAATGAGGCTAGACTGTCATGAGTTGGCTTGTAGATTGTCTAAGGTGTTAAGTTCTCTTTCTAAAAAAGAAAAAGAAATGACTATAAGGAACCAACGATTATCGATTCTTAAACAACCTATATTCTCCACACTTAATCAGCATTTGATAGATTATCTAACCCCGAGCAATCTTAGTTATTGGTGGGGGTTCGGTCCGTTAGCTGGTATTTGTTTAGTCATTCAGATAGTGACTGGCGTTTTTTTAGCTATGCATTACACACCTCATGTGGATCTAGCTTTCAACAGCGTAGAACACATTATGAGAGATGTTGAAGGGGGCTGGTTGCTCCGTTATATGCATGCTAATGGGGCAAGTATGTTTCTCATTGTGGTTCACCTTCATATTTTCCGTGGTCTATATCATGCGAGTTATAGCAGTCCTAGGGAATTTGTTCGGTGTCTCGGAGTTGTAATCTTCCTATTAATGATTGTGACAGCTTTTATAGGATACGTACCGCCTTGGGGTCAGATGAGCTTTTGGGGGGCTACAGTAATTACAAGCTTAGCTAGCGCCATACCCGTAGTAGGAGATACCATAGTGACTTGGCTTTGGGGTGGTTTCTCCGTGGACAATGCCACCTTAAATCGTTTTTTAGTCTTCATCATTTACTCCCCTTTCTTTTAGTAGGCGCCAGTCTTCTTCATCTGGCCGCATTGCATCAATATGGATCAAATAATCCATTGGGTGTACATTCAGAGATGGATAAAATTGCTTCTTACCCTTATTTTTATGTAAAGGATCTAGTAGGTTGGGTAGCTTTTGCTATCAAAAGTTTGCTACACCATTCATCAGTGCTCCTGAAATAAGATTTGAGTAATGGATTCAACCCGCGCTCACCTGAATCACTTCATGGAATTTATCACAAGTGATTGTGAGACGATAATATCATATAATCTTCAAACCAAGATATGTGAGTTATTTACTACGAGTTGGTTGTGCATTGATGGCATGAAAATGCATCAGTAACTTGATGTTATAAAATGTGTCATTGTGCATAATTTGATGAGTAGTTAGTACAAGAATATAATGTTGAAGTTTATATGTTCCTTTTATCCTATGAGGATTAAAAGTGATATCGTGGGCCCCTCGATGATTATGTTTTGACTATGTGTCGGGCCCAATCAGAACTAAATTGATGTGTTCAGTTATGTTCTATGTCAGACAAATCGGAAATCGGGAAACAAATTGCAGGACAATAAGTATGACTATGTTCCATGTGTTTGCCCGCATAGATATCTTGAGAACAGAGGAATATATGATCCCTTATCTGAAGGACGCGTCACTGACTAGGTCAGAGTTCGACAGCGGCTTTTGAAAGCTTACGATTGCTAAGTCGGATCCTGAAGTTGTATTGGCAGTTATAGTTATTTGACGTATCCAAGTGGGAGACTGTTGGATTTGGTGTCTAAGCCCATAACTATAATTGGGATGTACTTGACCCGATTGTAGCATGGTCCTTTTGGGTTGCCTTCACCATTGCAATTTGATAGGATGGACTTTTGAGAATAAGGTTATCTATGATTTATTAATATATTACAAGTATAATATATTAATATGAAATCATATTATTTAATTAGTATTGATCAAGAGTTAATTTAGAATTAATTTTGTGGTCAAAAGAGACTAATTAAATATATGGGGATTGATTGTGTAAATCAATGATTCTTATAGTGTGGGCTAATGATCCATGATTATTTAGATGTGTTAAACCAATGAGATAATCCATGGATAGTCCATGGAGGTTAAACCATGGAGCTAAGTAATATGAAAGGTCATTAGGGTTTACAAAGTGTAACCCTAACATTTGCTACACTATAAATAAACCCCCTTAGAGCCAAAATCGGTGACATGAGTGACCCCATTCATTATAAGAGAGTGAAGTTGATTTTGTGCCAAGTAACCTATTCTCTCAAGCCTCCTCTTGCATATTGGTGTTTGTGAACCATTAGAGGCATCACACTTGGGGTGCTCAAGCTTTCAAAGGTCAAGAACTACAAGTCCTTCTAAGAGGTAAGTCATCTAACTAGTTGTATTGTTCATTTGAAAATTGTATCGTAGTTAGGGAGAATGCTTTGGAAAAATTGAAAATGCATGTATAATAAGAGAAAACATGGATCCAAAGCATTTAGGGTTGCATGTGCATCATAGGAGTGTTATAGCGCTCAAAACCCAACAGTTGTTCCTTTGACTCGACTGACCAAGAAGTCGGTGACATTCCACTGGGGGCCTGAGCAGCAGGCAGCCTTCGAGACTCTCAGACATCGGTTATGCGAGGCACCGATTCTGACATTTCCGAAGGGAGTTGATGACTTCGTGGTTTACTGTGACGCTTCAATCACAGGCATAGACGCGGTATTGATGCAGCGGGGTCACGTGATAACTTACGTTTCGAGGCAGTTGAAGCCTCACGAGGCGAACTATCTGACGCAAGATTTAGAGTTGGGGGCTGTGGTTTCGCCCTCAAGATTTGGCAGCATTACCTCTATGGGGTTCGTTGTAACATTTACAAGGACCACAAGAGCTTGAGGTACTTCATGGATCAGCCGAATCTGAACATGAGGCAGCATCGGTGGTTAGATATGGTGAAGGATTATGACTGTGAGATCCTTTACCACCCCCGCAAGGCAGTGGTGACTCTGATTTAAGATATATGTCTGAGGATGATAGTGATTACACCGTTGCTAGAGCAGATCCGGGAGGCGCAGGTCGAGGGCCTAAAGGAGGAGCGCCGGAAGTGCGAGCGGATCATAGGCCAGGTGGCCTCATTTGATTATGAAAGTCGTGGGTTATTGACCCCGCATGGGAGGGCCTGGGCTCCGTACTGGGGCGGAGTACGACAAGTTCTGATGGATAAGGCCCATAAGTCGAGGTTCTCCATCCATCCCGAGGCGACGAAGATGTATCGGGATCTTATCCCCTGATTATTGGTGGCCATGCATGAAGCAGGACGTAGCGTGGTATGTGGAGAGGTGCTTGGCCTGTAGGAAGGTCAAGGCCGAGCATCAGCGACCCCACGACAAGATGTAACCGTTGGATATTCCCGTGTGGAAATGGGAGGATATCACCATAGATTTCATCACTAAGCTTCCCAGGACTGCACGTGGAGTAGATTCGATATGGCTCATCGTGGATCGGTTGACCAAGAGTGCTCTTTTTATCCCAATTCAGGAGAGTATATCGGCTGAGAAGCTGGCTGAGATTTACGTGCGTGAGATAGTGGCATGTAACGCCCGCGTTTCGGGGCTAAGCATTTTTAGACGATGTAATAGTCTAGGTCAACTATTGTAACACTTTTTGAGATAATAAAGATGAAATATTTGAGTATTATGTGAATTATGTGAATTTATATGCTTATTACTTATTTATAAATGTGTAATAAATAAAGAATAAAAATAAGCGTCAAAATTAAAGTGTGAGATAAGCCCGATATCTTTACATAAAGTTGTAGTGGTCGAAACAAGGATTTTGGGGATATAAAGAACGCCGAAATCCGAGTTATAACGAAGAAGTTATGACCCGTCGAAGTTTCACGACGGAACCGGCGCGACACCGGGAAGCGTAAATAGTGAATTTTTACGATAGAGCGACTTTTAGCCTTAGCGATCTAAACGAAAGTCGTAGAATATGTTAAACCGAGAGCGTCCATAAAATGAACGCCCAAATCTGACTTTGTATGAGGAAGTTATGATTTTTCGAAGTTTCGGCTTAGCGGTGTACAGCCCGAAGTTCGAGTATTAGATCAAGCGGTTTTTAGCCGACACAACCTAAACGAGAATCAAAGATCTCGTTATTAGTAGCGTAACGATAAAAATACAGACGAAAACGAACATCGGATGAAGAAGTTATGAAATTTTAACGGACCAATCCTGTCCCGGCCTGTTAAAAATATAACTTTAAAATAAAGTCAAAATTAGCTGACGGAGTCTAAACGAAAGTTGTAGAGTATGTCTCCACCTACGCGTGAATATAAATAACGTCAAAAACGGAGTTCTAATGAACGAGTTACAAATTATAATAGCATATTTACGTATTAAAATAAAGTATAAATCATATATACGTAAACATATATATACATATGTATATATCATTAGAAAGGTATCGACGATGCGGTCATTATAAGACTAATGTTGAGTTCTTTCGACATTAGTTTAGTACAAATATCGTTAAATCTATTTAAAATAGTATTATAAAGGGGTGTTTAGTTGTTTATATAACTATAAGGTCATTAAGTAATTATGGAGGGTAGTTTTTGAAAATTCAATTAGTATAAATAAGAGCCTCTAGCTCTCATTATTCTTGCACCATTCTCTTGATTCAAGAGTCTTTCTCTTCTTATCCCCCCGAGCATTTCGGTCCCTCGTGATTCGACTTCTCTTTCTATAGTTTTAGTATAGTAAGGTGAGCGCTGAAGCGCTGCACGAATCTTTCTTAGAAAGATTCAGCGACGAAGTTCTGCCCCTGCAGAGCTCGGCTCCTAGCTAAAGCCCCCTTGTTTTGTCAAGGGAAAAATTGTTTTGAGGTAACGAAGCGTTGTCCGAGTACCGAGTCACCACCTTAACAAGTGAGTGCATAGTTACTTTCATCTTAGACATAGATATGAAGTATTTTATATAAATTACGTGCTATGTGTGCATATTATCTGTATACTTGTTATCTATGCTGGATGAACGATTTTTATACATGTTTTAAATGATTTAAACTGTATATGTATTTTATATCTACAAAAATGTTGGGGTAAAACATGGGTAGATGTAATAGACAATGTGTGGTAAAATGATGAGAGGCCTCGATGTTCTTGTTCTTGATTCTGTCATCTAGCGGAGTATGGATGACGACCACGGACTCTTCTAGACAGTCCAGTGGAACGCTAGCAGGCTCGCAACCTGTAGGTGTTTGTGAACGATGTGTTCACCGGAGTACTCCATCCCCCTCATGGTTTCCTTTAGGACATTTATTGCTGAGGAACCCCCTTAGCAGTAGTATCCATCCCGATGATGATCCTTAGGCTAGGTCCCTTATGATAGGTGTTTAGGGACGTAAAGTGAGGATAACGGGAACGGGTAATCGGGTTATTGTTGGTTGATGAAATTAATAAACTTATTTATTGTGGGTTGAAAACCCTATGTGCTCACCAGGCTCCCAAGCCTGACCCACTCAGTTTCTTGTATTACAGGTAGTGGCGCACGAGTATAGATATGATGTTTGGGATGAGAGATTACGGATATAGGCCTGTAGATATGAATAAATGTAGTAAGGCTTATATTGTACTGTGTATGCTTTTGATCTGTATCGAACATGACATCCCGAGGTTTTTAATGAAATACATTTCTACGGAAATGCTTTGATAAATCTTTATCATATTTTATTTTAGGAACAAATTCCGCAACACTTTTATTTAAAATGTTACTCTGATTTTTAAACAAAGCATAAACAAAAAATCGGTCTTTTCTGGCCGTGAAAATGGGGATGTCACAGTTGGTATCAGAGCATTAATTTAAGCGAACTAGGAATTTGTAGGATTTCTAGACTTAAACTTAGAATGCTAAGCGAGGATTCTGAGGTGTGAGCACTAGCTTATTTTAGAAATTATGCCTAAAATGCTTTTATGTGCTAAATGTTTTGTG